GGCAGCGGTCACGTCCGAGCTAATCGAGCGCGTCTCGTGACGCGAGTTTGCCGCCAATTGCCCCGTAGGCCGCAGGATGGAAGGATGGCAGGATGGCAGGACGGTAGGACGCTGCGTCGCTAACATCGCTAATTCCTGCCGCGTCTTGTGGCGCTGGATCAAGTTTTATTCTCCAAGGGAGGAGGGAATGAAGGGAATCAGGGATGGAGAGAGAGAGGGGATCAGGGATGGAGAGAGAGAGGGGATCAGGGATGGAGAGAGAGAGGGGATCAGGGATGAAGAGAGCGGGGATCAGGGATGGGGACTGGGATTGGGTAAAGGGCATAATGGTCTGGGCCAGCAAGAGGAAAAGCGCTGGGCGTGGGTCAGGGCACGGAACTGGGACAGGGCATGGGTTAGAGACGGGAACGGGTCAGAGACGGGAACGGGTCAGAGACGGGAACGGGTCAGAGACGAGAACGGGTCAGAGACGGGAACGGGTCAGAGACAGGAACGGGACAGAGACGGGATGAAAGACAGAGATATGAAAGGAAACGGAGACGGGTTGAAGGTCAAGGTCAGACGCAACATGAACAGTCTAACGGATTTTTTTTATCAATAATCTACCAGTGATAAAAGAATCTGTGCTTTTGTTAGCATTTGAGGAAGGCTCTACCACTAAACACGAATATAAATGAACAGATGTCACTTCGTAGGTGAAATAACGTCATTCACCAACACGGGCTCTGCATATTATATATACGCAAACATTAATATAGTAGTGGGACTCGAGAAGTTGGTTCTAACGAGAGTAACAATTGAGTAGTACAAGTGGTACAGATAGTGCATATGGTATAGGTATTAAGACTAATAAGACTAGTACAGGAGTACATGTAGTGCAAGTATTGAGAGTAGTACGAGTGATACAGATAGTGCATATAGTATAAGTATTAGGATTAGTACAAGTAGGACAAGTAGTGCAAGTAGGACAAGTGGCCGGTTGGAATCGCTGGAAAAATGTAGGCTTTCGCTGCAAAGTCGCTGCAGTCGCTGCCTCTGTAATTATAAGCACACCTAACAAAACAATTCACCCACTGACACCACAATTACTCAGGACAAGCAATGCCTGGCAATTCTGTGCAAACATTTATATTAATTTATTGCATCGAAATTACCAAATTCAGAAGGAATTGGGAAAAACTACGGAGACTATTCAAGATTATATATTATATATTAATATCATTAATATATTTATCACGTTACGTGCGGCATCGGATCATCAGTGGGTGGCAGGGGTTTTTTTTTCTGGACAAATTCCGATATTTATTTATCTATTTTTTAAATTGCAATGGCCTGATAAAATTTATGATGACGCACTCCCTCATTAAAATTTAAAAAGTACTTAAAAAGGAAAATTTAATTTTAGCACCGGAACCTACAAATGTACTAGTAAATGTTTAATAATATGCCTTTTTATCCACGGACTTGTCCGTTTTTAGGCCATTTAGGCCTAAAAACGGCCTAAATAGGCGTTTTTAGGTTAAGGCCTAAACGGCCGTTTTAGGCCTAAAAACGGCCCTTTTTAGGTTAAGATCATTGCATAATGTACGTAGGTTGGTCCGACGTTGTGAAGCTTGATATAGTTCTTGCAAATTCGAAATCCCAATACCGTCACTCCCGTAATACCCAATCCGCTGAATAATAATAAACTTTTATTAATCTAATTAAATAAAAATCCCTTCAAACACACATTTTATGTAGAATATAGGATTCCTATTCTACTGTCGCTTCCAAACACCTATTTTGCGTCTTATAAATTATTTTCAATTCGTACTTTTTCAAAATCAGTATTCAATTCTTGGTTCAATCTTTTCTTTTCCTTCCACCAATCCTTGCCTAGTTTCTCACCAGGAAATAAATTTCTGGTCCAGGTAACATTTTCACGCCCCCACAGCCCATACATTTTTCGGCGCCAAGCGTGAAATGCGCACACACATTAAAACTTTCATAAATATATGTAAAATATTATAAATCTCATTACAAAATGCATGTTCGGGTGTTTCTTAGTATAAATTACTGGCATGTTGTATCAAATCAAGCATATATTGCATTAATTGAGCCAGGTGAAATTGGTTGTATGTTGTATCAAATGAAATGGATATTGTATTAATTGAGCCAGGCGAAATTGATTGTATGTTGTATCAAATGATGCGGATATTGTATTAATTGAGCCAGGCGAAATTGATTGTCTGTTGTATCAAATGAAGCAGATATTGTATTAATTAAGCCAGGCGAAATTGATTGTATGTTGTATTAAATGAAGCAGATATTGTATTAATTAAGCCAGGCGAAATNCGTCGTGCAGCAAGCAGCGGCACCGGCGAGCCTGTGTTCGTGGAGGCCATCGACAACGTGACGGTGACGGCTGGACGAGACGTGCGCCTCGCTTGTACCGTCGACAACCTGGGCACATACAAGGTGGGGGATGTTTATATTTATAAATATAATATTATTAATATTATGTTTATATTGAGATATTGAGGAGGTTTAGGGGGACCTTGGGGGATGTTTATATTTATAAGTATATATAAATATATATACGGGAGACATATAAATGATTATTCTTGCGGTGCCACTAAGTTAGTGCGGAAAAGTACCCAATATACAGTGTTTATATATTAGAGTGCAAACAAATAAAATAAAAATAATATGTTTGCTCTCTCTATATACATGCGTATAGTTTTATTTTTTTCCACATTTTATTCATTTTCCAAAACGACTGATATGAAGAGAGTGGGTGATAATTGTGATGCCGATGAGGATGATGAAGGTGATTTATGTAGGCAGTTGTTGAATTTATGCTGTTTCATCAGTTTTGTCTTCACCGTAAGTCATTCGCTGTGAGTTTCATCAGTCCGTAGTTGTCACCGGGGCGACTAAACCCGGGGGCGTTCGTTTATTTAATAAATGACGACCAGGTACAGGTTGTGCATGTGGTTGGGGTGTGGTTGGCTATTGGTTGCAGGTGATGAACCTAGTGCGAGTATTTGGAGCACTGTAATGACTTGTGTGGTTTTCTTTTGGTGTCTGCAATGAATGTGGTTGGTGGATAGAATAGAAGAATAGGTGGATAGAAGAGATGAGGATAGTATGATTTAATGGTGGACCATGTTTTTGTGCTTGTTGGTGAAAGACGATGTTTGTGGTTAGTATGTATAGCAATATTAGTGTAGTTTTTTTAATATATGAAGTCGGACCAATGTGTGTTTGTGATGAATCTTATTGATTGGTTTTGGACTCTCTGCAGTTGATGTATTGCTGTTATATACGTCTCTGCTTTGTACACTTTCCTGATCCTCTTCAATCACCCACTTGCTACACCTTCTTTCTTCCCCTGTTCATTTCTTGGTCCCTACCACGTCCCCGACACTTCTATTACTCTCGTATTTCCTCTTTACCGCATCTTTCAATGCTCTTCAATCCTTTTCTCTTGTTTAATCCCTCACTGTTGCCTCTTTCACTCCCTTTCACCACTCAATAACACATCCTCCATCACATCATATTCCTTCCCACCAGTCCCAAGTGAGCGATCATTCATGCATAGTCGCCACTTTCCTCTCCATTTCCTTTCCAATAACCATTTTCTACACTCTTCGGTGATCACTTCACCACTTTCCACACTCTATACACCACTCTCTACTCATCACCATCTTTTCACCACTCCTCGTCACCACTCCCCACACCCCTGCTCTCCACCAACCTCACTCTCCACTACCCGCCAACACTCTCCGCTCTCCACACCCCTACACCCTCCACCACTCCCCGCCACCCTTCTGCCACCACCCACACCTCCTCATCTCCACCAACACCACTCTCCATTCTCCACACATCTCCACCTTCCACCGCCCTTCTCCACCCCTTCACCACTATTTTCTCCTATTGTGGATCATAAGAGTCTCATATTTCTATATTTGAAACACCTGCTACAAATATTTATTTTCATGTGTGTCGATAATTCTCTTTAATGGTACAGTTATCTCTCCGAAATACCCTTTTAAATACCCTTCAATGATTACTCTTTTCCCGACTTGTAGCGTTTTTCTCTGTTGCCAATGAGCTTTACTCTGTTAATTACCTTCCCTTGATGCCGTTGTCTGCTGCCTCTGCCATCAAGTCAGTGATGTTATCCACAAATCTGTCCCTACTTAAGCTTTAAATACACCGAATTTCATTTGAAAGCAATTGACTGAGAAGTAGAAAATTTTCTTTGCTTGTATCTGCACTAGTGAGATGGAGATGTAAACTTAATTTCTATTCTTTTACTATATTGACAAAAACTTCATTTATTCATTACTGCAAATGCTGTTTGCTCCGAACGAACTCAAGTGTTAACGTTTCCACATCCGCCTCTTGCGTTCTTCAGTTGTGTTTTCTCTTCATTTAAGGTAATCGTTGAGCCGAGAGACAGAGCCTCATTACTCAGGCTCAGAAGGACTTGAGGACGTGAGACAGTAGGACTTGTAGGATGCGGGGTCAGGCAATCGACAAGGAGTGCGTCCAGAGATTGTCCGCAATAAGAGAGTCTCTTTGCTTGGACTTCGTCCAGCGCATTCGTTGTCAGGATTGCGATTGAAAACTTGGGTCGTCACTCTTGCCGGGGGTCTCGCTGCCGAGACGCTTATTTCTAGGACAAACTCTGCGGAAACGTACGCCATTCGACGTATGCAAATGCAATTATTTTTTCACCCACACCTGAATATACATTGAATACGGTTATGATTTAATACCTTTTATTTTATTGAAGGAAAAAGGTTATTAAATTTTCGCTGTTGCTACTTTATCGAAAAAGTGCAGCTCTGTTATTTGAATTGGTGCGGTATGACAATGAGTCATGGCTGCATTATATATATGGACAACGCTACATGGACCGCGTTATATGTACCATGTTACATGGAAAGCGTATTATAGACCGCGTAATATTGACCGCGTAATCAAAGAAAAAGCAAACTAATTTTGCCCGTTTTTTTACTGCATTTTAAAGTCATCTCTTTTATCCATGAGAAAAATGAAGCGATTTTTAGTTCTAAGCTATAAAATGTTCACGAACGCAAAGATAAATGCGTCACTTCAGTTAGTCCGTCTCATTAACTAGAGATTAATTGGAACCTTTGTAACTCAGCCTCTCATTTTCGGTAAACTCGCTCAACTGAGTCAAGTAGCATTCATATCGTCATGACCCGCAAAAGTTTCGTCTAGATGAAGGCTGGCTAATAAAGGCGTCTTTGTTGGTGGTCTAATCAAGGTCTGATGATCACGTCGATATCAACAGACTGTCCTAGCAACACCTTATCAACACGACTTCATGAACAACACGACCATTCAAGGAACTTACGGCTTTCGTGTGTTGTTGAGGCATGTCCTTCATTTGGTAACATGAAGTGTATATTAGTTGAAACACTTACAGTATAAATGTGTTGTTGAATAATTTTCACTTCTCCTTCATCGACTTCTAACGCCTAAAGAAAAAGCCGCAATTAACACTTTCGTATTCAACACGCTTTATCATTTCATTATTGCTCATGCAAATCTGTATATTTTCTTTTTTACGTTATTCCCATCGAACGCACTTAACGTATTACTTATTTCTCACTGCTCATAACATTTTATTTTACTCACTCCTAATCTCTCACACTACATCTTTTAGCCCTTTTAACTTCTTTGTTTCTTTTCTTTAATTATTCCTTCCATTCTTCTATTACTACTTTTGTTTTTCCATAATTATCCCCTTCTCTCTTCCCTCGCGCGTTTCCCCTCACCCTCCCCCTAAAGCCCCCTGCCAGACAGGCTCACTGTTTAAGTAAGCCTCCTCTGCAGCGGCGCGTTGCCCTGATTTTGTTTGAAGAATTCATAAGGAGTTTGCCGACGCGTCCCGGCAGCTGCCTTCTTATGGGACAGCTGTCAGCTGCGCGTCCCACCTCGTAGCTCTGCGTCCCTGCAGCTGCCTTCTTATGGGACAGCTGTCAGCTGCGCGTCCCGCCTCGTAGCTCTGCGTCCCGGCAGCTGCCTTCTTATGGGACAGCTGTCAGCTGCGCGTCCCGCCTCGTAGCTCTGCGTCCCAGCAGCCGCCTTCTTATGGGACAGCCGTCAGCTGCACGTCCCGCCTCGTAGCTCTGCGTCCCAGCAGCCGCCTTCTTATGGGACAGCCGTCAGCTGCACGTCCCGCCTCGTAGCTCTGCGTCCCAGCAGCCGCCTTCTTATGGGACAGCCGTCAGCTGCACGTCCCGCCTCGTAGCTCTGCGTCCCAGCAGCTGCCTTCTTATGGGACAGCCGTCAGCTGCACGTCCCGCTTCGTAGCTCTGCACGCGTCCCGGCAGCTGCCTTCTTATGGGACAGCTGTCAGCTGCGCGTCCCGCTTCGTAGCTCTGCACGCGTCCCGGCAGCTGCCTTCTTATGGGACAGCCGTTAAGTGCGCGTCCCGCCTCGTAGCTCTGCATGCGTCACAGTAGCCGCCTTCTTATGGGACAGCTGTCAACCGCTCGTCCCCAGCCCCGTACTTCTGCGTCCCGGCAGCCTCGTCCTTATGGGACAGCTGTCAACCGCACGTCCCCAGTCTCACAGCTGTGCGCTTATCGCGCATGCACTGCGCCAGCCTGTAACAGTCAATGTCAGCTCTTCATTTGCTGCACCTCCAAGTCAATGCGAAGGAATAGAATTGTTTTACGTTTAATACAATAGGAACAAACTGAATATTTTTACGTAGATGGCTTGGAACTAGAAAATTGGCTTAAGCAGATCATGAATGTCTAATTAGATCATGATTGGATTGAAAAGTAATGATTGGTTCAATTAGATTTTGAGTGGATTATTCTAATCGAAATTTATATATTTATATCATGAATAGCCCAACAGGATTGGAACAGATGTAATTAAATTTTAATTGATTTAATTATATCACGATTGGCCTAATGAGATGGTTGTGCGACATGTTGGGATAATAATTGATTTAACTAGCTTATGATTTTATTAATTGCATGATGATTGTATTATTTAGACCATGGTTGGCTCAATTGGATGTAACAATGAGCTTCTTTAGATCGTGACTGATTGGACTATAACCTGTTTGACTAGATCTGGCCAAGCTTGAATGGTCATGTATGGCTAAAATTTGGTCATGACCTATTTTTTGCCTTCATACGAGATCTGGTCACGCATAGCCAGCATTTGGTCATGACCAATATGATGCCTTCACACGAGATCTGGTCACGTATAGTCAGCATTTGGTCATGACCAATATGATGCCTTCATATAAGATCTGGTCACGTATAGCCAGCATTTGGTCATGACCAATATGACACCTTCATACAATATCTGGTCACGTATAGCCAGAATTTAGCCATGACCAATATGACATTTATATACAAGATCTGGTCACGCATAGTCAGCATTTGGTCATGACCAATATGATGCCTTCATACAATATCTGGTCACGTATAGCCAGCATTTGGTCATGACCAATATGATGCCTTCATACAATTTGATGCCTTTACGCGAGATCTGGACACGTATAGTCAGCATTTGATCATGAACAATATGACGCCTTAATTCATACAAGATCTGGTCACGAATAATAATCTGCACTTGGTCATGAGCAATATTATGCCTTCATGCAAGATCTGGTCACGCATAGCCAGCATTTGGTCATGACCAATATGACACCTTTATACAAGATCTGGTCATGTATAGCCAGCATTTGGTCATGCCTGATGTGATGCGAGAGCAATAAGCAGCTTGAGGATATGGTATCACAGCAGCATCATACCGACTGCTCTTTCACTACTATGTTTTAAAATTTAAATTCTCAGTTAACAAATGTTGATTGAAGTGGCACGTAAAGACATTAATCATGTCAACTTGTCGTCAAGTGAAAATATAATTTAGAATGCACACAAATTATATTAAAATTATTTTAATTCTTATTCGAAACCTGAACAATTCATGCCTGAGTAATAATTGATATGTTTTTATAACTGCAACGATGATGACGTCATCAGGTTGCGTGGATCGCGTTCGACAAGTCAGCGATCCTGACCGTAGAGGAACACGTCATCACACGCAACCCTCGCGTCAACGTCAGCTATGACGGCCACCGTACCTGGACCCTGCACCTCTCCAAGGTACGGTCACAGTCTACTGGCCTTAATATAGCATGCAGACACACCCTGCACCTCTCTAAGGTACGGTCACGGTCTACAGGCCTTAATATAGCATGCAGACACCACCCCGTATCTGTCCAAGGTACGGTCACGGTCTACTGGCCTTAATATAGCATGCAGACACCACCCTGTATCTCTCCAAGGTACGGTCACGGTCTACTGGCCTTAATATAGCATGCAGACACACCCTGTATCTCTCCAAGGTACGGTCACGGTCTACTGGCCTTAATATAGCATGCAGACACCCTGCACCTCTCCAAGGTACGGTCACGGTCTACTAGCCTTAATATAGCATGCAGACACGACCCTGCACCTCTCCAAGGTACGGTCACGGTCTACTGGCCTTAATATAGCATGCAGACACGACCCTGCACCTCTCCAAGGTACGGTCACGGTCTACTGGCCTTAATATAGCATGCAGACACCACCTGCACTTCTCCAAGGTACGGTCACGGTCGTATCGACTAGGCCCAATATTTGTTGCATTGCACTAAAGTAAAGCTGATTGTTTTTAAATTAATAATTATAAATTTCAAGAATATTTATTCATGATGAGAAGTAATTATAGTTTTCTGCTGATACCACATGCTTGATGCTACCTATTGATGCCACCTAATGATGCCACCTATTGATGCCACCTATTGATGCCACCTATTGGTGCCACCTAATGATGCCACCTATTGATGCCACCTATTGATGTCACCAGGTGAACGCATCGGACGCAGGCACCTACATGTGTCAGGTCAACACCATCGTCGCCAAGAGTCAGTTCGGCATCATCAGCGTCGTAGGTGAGTCTTAATTCTATCATCTTTATAATCATTATCATTTACTTTTTATACCATTAGGTGTTCAATATTCTTAATATATTTTTCTTTCTTTGATCCACTAAACATATTTCTCCTACTACTTGTGTGGAAAAAAGATGTGGAAAATTGAAATATGTAAGAGTCGCGATAGCATCGCGGAATAACGCTTTGGTGCTGGCAAGTGCTGGAGAAAATACGGTCAGAGGGAGAACAAGTGGAGCAATTTTTCGAACAGATTTCTTTCCAGAGTTTCTTCAATGGACGATTAATATATTAATGTGCGTTGTCAATAAATTAATCGTGGAAATAAGTATTGTGCGAATAAAATGAGGTTAAATGCTGAGAAAAGATTCATTTTCATAGAAGCGCGAATTTCATTCTTCAACTTTGTAATTCGCATCTGATATATAACCTGTAAACATACGGGTTAATTAAATATTTTCAACACGTATAGAAATTTTGAATAACAATTAAAAATAATTTAGAGAATTTTAAGAAATTTTCGGAGAATTTTTCTTTCTATTATGAGCGAAGAAATTCTTAAAAACAGCCAAGGATATCGACTGCGAGATATCAGCGCACGAGCAGCATCGGTTTGCTCTTACAATAAACTTCCAGGAAAAGTGCAGAGTAAGTGAAATCTTGGTGCGATCTCCGTAGACTTTATTCCTTCGCCCGACACTCTCACTGATGCTAGAAATTTCTATTGGAATATCGCTGCTTTAGACTCTGCAGTCATGTTGGCAGACTTTCTGATTCGCTTCATTTTTTATTCAATATCCACAATTTTTATTTAATCTTTATCTGATCAACAGTTAATTATGAATTTTTGAGTAATTCAAATTATTGGCAATGTTCGATTTTTTAACAAATCAAAATTGTGCTCTGAAGCCGCTTCCAAAAGTGTCCTTGCATGCGATTATAATTAACCTAAATTTTTAACATCATTTCACCCGAATACTACCATGAAACCTTTTCTCATAGACCTACGAAGATGAAAAGGGAGAAAACTTCTCTATCATGCGAGGAAACTTCTCATGCCGCACCAACGGCATATGAACTTAGCAGATAAATAAATAGAGCTTAAATTTTTTGTTCTCTTTTGAAGGCTCTACTCTCTGAGAAAAGGAGAAGAGCGACGGGGAGTAACAATTGTTGACTTCTTCTCGTCCCAGGATTCAATTTGAGTTTTTCCCTGCACCGAGACTGGCGAACAATCGTGCGCGTCGTCTGCTCTCTCAACTCGCGCGCGAAGAAACGTTCGAAGATGCTGTAGAATTTACCGAGACTTTGCAGTTTTTTACACTTGCATGCATTTATTTACACTTCACGCAGACATGGCATGCACAGACACATGGTGGCGACTGCTGTGGCATTTACCGAGACTTTGCAGTTTTTTACACTTGCACACTGTTAGAAAAATGACCGTTAACGGTAATACCGGCGTTTCAGTGGCCGGTCGGCACGCAAAAAGAAACACCGTGTCGCCGTTTGTATTCCAATTTAACACCAGAAATCCGTAAAACATCTGACAAGAACGGCAAAACAGTTTATTTTCACGGGGCGACCGGCCACTAGGATGCCGGTGGGACCGTTTTTTCACCGTTTTTTCTAACAGTGCAGTTATTTACACTTGCATTTATTTACACTTCACGCAGACATGGCATGCACAGAGACACATGGCGGCGACTGCTGTGGCATTTACAGAGACTTTGCAGTTATTTACACTTCACGCACACATGGCATGCACAGCTGTCTCTTATACACATCTAGATGTGTATAAGAGACAGCCTTCATACAATATCTGGTCACGTATAGCCAGCATTTGGTCATGACCAATATGATGCCTTCATACAATATCTGGTCACGTATAGCCAGCATTTGGTCATGACCAATATGATGCCTTCATACAATATCTGGTCACGTATAGCCAGCATTTGGTCATGACCAATATGATGCCTTCATACGAGATCTGGTCACGTATAGCCAGCATTTGGTCATGACCAATATGATGCCTTTATACAAGATCTGGTCACGCATAGTCAGCATTTGGTCATGACCAATCTGATGCCTTTACGCGAGATCTGGACACGTATAGTCAGCATTTGATCATGAACAATATGACGCCTTAATTCATACAAGATCTGGTCACGAATAATATTGCACATGACGTACGATATCCTGCACATGACGTACGATATCCTGCACATGACGTACGATATCCTGCACATGACGTTCGATATCCTGCACATGACGTACAATATCCTGCACATGACGTACGATATCCTGCACATGCCGTACAATATCCTGCACATGACGTACGATATCCTGCACATGCCGTATGATATCCTGCACATGCCGTATGATATCCTGCATATGACGCGTATAAACTTTAGTAGTCGGGACCGCGTCCACATCTGTAGACTGGTTATTGTTTGATGCATTTATTTGTCTGAGTGAAGGAGCCAATAAAGATGAAATAAAGGCCAACATGTGTCTCCTAATATGATTGAGTGCCAATGGTTTGAATCGATGAAAAAATAAAGCTTTTTCACAATCAAGAATATATTCCATTCAAGGAATGAAAAACATGAAATATTATCGTCATGCCGTGCTTTGTACACAGCTCAAAACATAGCACTGAAGTTAAGATAAGAAAGTAACCTTCATCTCAAACAAGTGACGACATTTATAAAAAATTCCTTAAGAATAAAGCTTATGAATATTTTCTGACTTCCCATAGAACAACTAACGCATCGTTGTGACCTTGAACTCCGATAACTCTTTTTATAAAAATAACCAAAATTGAAGGATTTTCTCTGGGGTATAATTTTGTCTAACTAACGTGGACATTAAATGCTATATCCCAGCTGCCATGGCTGCGTCATGCGATAACGAAGGCTGAAACATCCGACGCGTCTCATTACGCGCATTAAATGCATTACGGTTGTGTAAATTTTATACGCCATTGGAGACGCTCTATATACACCCCTGTTCCCTCGCTGCATTGAGTCCCTCAGAGCGACGCCTAATTAATGTATTCATTGCTAATCTTCAGTCAATAGAAAGTAATCCGCAGCTTTCTCTTTGCCGGAGTTTTTATTATTTGCTTGCCCCTCGTCGGTTGCGTGAAGAATGAACGGTTTTATAGGAGCGATACACTCGTTAATTTGAAGGTAAATATAAGTCGCTCTAAAGTTATTTAATTTTTACAATTATGCACTTTTGATATTGCATCTTTGAGCTTCTTAAGGCTTTTCGTAGCTCTGATGAAGGAACAACTTCCTGTAGCGCGCAACGGCTTGCAAAATTCAACCGTTTCTACAATAAAATTTCATTTTTTCCTTCTGGAATGTTTTCAGAAAAAACTACGTATTTACTTGATCTGAGTAAAATAAATCAGACTCATTCATCACTACTTGAAGCTGAAACATGTACCTGACATGTACCTGAGTACCTGACTTGTACCTGAGTTCCTGCAACAATCAAACGGTTTGAATGTTCAGCGCGCAGTGATCGTGATTTTGTAATGACGGTGGGAAAGAAACATCCCAGCTGATTAGGACGAGTTGCATTATTTCTCTGAATATTTACAGTATATAACTGGNAGGAGGGGCGGCATGCGGGATTTACCGTGGCACTATTTTGTGCTATTCAGAGCACCATGCTGACGTTCTCATCTGACCGTGCTGATCGAAAAAAGCTCTCACAAATCTGCATTCGCACAAAAATATAAATACAATATTTCATAGCAGTTAGTGATAAATAAAAATAGAAAGAATACCTTTAAGCAACACTAATTTTCAACTGATACTGATATGACAAATACTATGTCGTATTTTACTATGCTCACTTTGGCAGCAAGAGTTGTGCACAGAAGAAATTACAATCATTTGAAAAAGTAAAGTAGTTTACCTGCATTACGGAACTGCAGAACGAGATCAAATAAAACCAAGTTTCACAAAAAGTCCATTTACAGTAAAGGTGCAGCAAGGTATTTACTCTGTCTCTTATACACATCTTAATCAGCATGCTCAGCCTGAGCAGCATGAGCAGCATGAGCCTCTTAATCAGCATGCTCAGCCTGAGCAGCATGAGCAGCATGAGACGCTTAATCAGCATGATCAGCCCGAGCAGCATGAGCAGCGTGAGCCACTTAATCAGCATGCTCAGCCCGAGCAGCATGAGCAGCATGAGCCTCTTAATCAGCATGCTCAACCCGAGCAGCATGAGCCTCTTAATCAGCATGATCAGCCCGAGCAGCATGAGCAGCATGAGCCTCTTAATCAGCATGCTCAGCCCGAGCAGCATGAGCAGCATGAGCCTCTTTCAGCCCGAGCAGCATGAGCAGCATGAGCCTCTTAATCAGCATGCTCAGCCCGAGCAGCATGAGCAGCATGAGCAGCGTGAGCCTCTTAATCAGCATGCTCAGCCCGAGCAGCATGAGCCTCTTAATCAGCATGATCAGCATGATCAGCCCGAGCAGCATGAGCAGCGTGAGCCACTTAATCAGCATGCTCAGCCTGAGCAGCATGAGCAGCGTGAGCCGCTTAATCAGCATGCTCAGCCTGAGCAGCATGAGCAGCATGAGCCTCTTAATCAGCATGCTCAGCCCGAGCAGCATGAGCAGCATGAGCCTCTTAATCAGCATGATCAGCCCGAGCAGCATGAGCCACAAGAGCAACAAGCTCAGCATGAGCAGCATGAGCAGCGTGAGCCTCTTAATCAGCATGATCAGCCCGAGCAGCATGAGCAGCGTGAGCCACTTAATCAGCATGCTCAGCCCGAGCAGCATGAGCAGCGTGAGCCGCTTAATCAGCATGCTCAGCCCGAGCAGCATGAGACGCTTAATCAGCATGCTCAGCCTTTGTGCTAGTATCAGATTGTGCTAATATCAGATTGTGCTAGTATCAGATTGTGCTATTATCAGATTGTGCTACTATCCGATTGTGCTAGTATCAGATTGTGCTAGTATCAGATTG